AAACCCAACTCACTCACGCACTTGCTCAACAGTGGTACCACTGTTGAGCAAGTGAGTGAGTGAGTGAGTTAGGTTTAACGCCGCTTTTAACAGTTTTCCAGTTATCAGGTCTCAGACGTTTAACCACTTCGGTGAAACCCACGAGCACGGGTATGGTGCTGACAAACCTAAAAACACAATTGGGGCGAACCGTGATTCGAACCCACAATCATAGGTTTCTGGCGTGTCCAAGGGATACAACTCTGCACAGTGAATCGCGGCGCCCTAGACGACTACCCGTGCCCCCAGTACCACTGTGGACGTAAGTAGTGTCATAGTACTCTTTCTACAAAGAGCAGGGATTTATCCAGGATACAAACTAAGTTTGTGTGTTTGTTTGTTGTTTAACGCCGCACTCAGCAGTAAGACCATAAGGACCAATCATTCCTATCTCTCTATGGCAGAAATATGACAAACCAGAGATGAAATGGCTTTCAAATCCTTGACAGCAAAGCCAAGCATCAAAGGGACACAACTCTGCACAACCACTTGTGAGGCTGCGACCACAACATCATTTCTACCAGGGTGAGCGAGTATGTTTTTACGCCCATTTTGCAATATTCCAGCAATATCATGGCAGGGGACACAAGAAATGGACTTCACACATTGTACCCATGTTGGGAATTGAACCCGGGTGTTCGGTATGATGAGCGAACGCTCTCACCACGAGGCTACCACGAGCATCATCATTGTTATGACATCAGTTTTACTTCCCCCCCACTAAGGCAACATTTCATAAGAAGTGTGGGTGCATCAACAGGCCTTGCTCATATTCCGGAGGCAAGAGAGTTAGTTAACTGACTATAAAAGTCCAGTTACCACCCTTTCCGAACTAGGCTGGAATTATGGAGTTATATTTTGGCTGGACTAACGAATCTATGCATAGTCCAATCAAAATTGCATAACGAAATCGACATCCGGTTCATTAACTGCAAGGATTTGCAAAGCATGTGTACTGCCAACTCGGTGTAAACAGATATTTTCCACATTTTTTCATGTTTTTAATGAAGGCGCTGATCTGGTTTGATGCACTTTGTGAAATAGAGACGTTTTATCACAATACAGATTTTGATTATCGACCAGATCGTCTTGACTGGGCAGCGCCATATTGTTTGAAGCAAATTCAAGTGACATGAGAGGTGGAATGTGATAGGTCAATCGGAGGGACATAGAAGGGACATAACTCGTAATAGCAAATGGAGGCGCTAACAATCGAGCCAAGCATTCAGGCCTAGCTCACAAAGGGTGGACACTGAACTTTTATCGTCAGTTGACTCCCGTACCTCAGGAAGATGGGACTCACATTACTTTTTGATTGGTTTACAGATCCACCAATGGTAAAGATCGCTTTGACAATAAAAATAATCCAAAATATTTTTATATGACAAAAACATTGTGAACACATTTAAATGAAAATCTGATTATTTGTATATTGTGGCATTAAGCTATGTTAAGTGGCAAAGCTAATGTGCTATGTATGTTAAATTTGGTACACAACATCCCACACATTTGACATCAGAAAAATAATTTAAGGATACCGTATTCGACATAATTAGCGCCCTGCTCTAATAAGCGCCCACAGCGATATATGCTAATATATTGGCTAGTGAACAATCCTAATAAGCACCCCTTCTGTTTGATCAATGTACACAATATTTCTTTATTTGCGTATAATATGCACTCGTGTGTTACATGCGCCCTTATTTATGGGTATTTAAATATATCTGTCGTATATAAACATTCCAGGCTGTAGGCATAAACCACGAAATTTACGATCTTTCAACTCTTTTTTTCACCAAAATAATATTCCAATAAGAGCCCCCTATTTCTAAATTTGAGAGCGCCCTGGGCGCTTATTACGTCGAATACGGTACATCAATACCCCTGACTGAAAATGTCAAGACATTCATGAGAGCAGAGAGCCTTGATGGGGTTGTACTATTTAGCATAAAACAACTAACAGTCATTTTTTATCATAAAAGATCAATGTATAATGTCTATAAAAAATGCTTAGCGTAAATTAAACATCTGCATGCTAAATTCTCATAAAATTTGTATGTAACAAGAAGTAGCAATACAACAAAACCAGTCAGCGTTTGTTTTTTGCAAAACAAATTGCAGTAATGAAACAAAAGCAGAACTGTCCCCATCTTTCCTCACAGATTGAATATCTGTGTTCGCATAGAAATGATTAGTCTGTCTTACAGACCCTGATAGAAATATATATCAAATACAGCCCATGCAAGTCTATAATGTTTGGCAAGTCTAGATTACTGCAGTATCAGGCTAGAAAATGAAGAGAGTCACTGGGCTCCCTTTTGCTATATTTTTATTAAGATAACTGAACAACTGTTTTTTCTGTACGATATGTTCATTTTAGAGACTAGATGTTAGTCTAAGAAATGATTTCACATCTTAGACTTAACTTAACACATTGTTACTTATTTCAGGGTATAAAATCCCCCCAATTTCATTCAGACAACTGGACTGACAAATTTGCAAAATTACCAGACCAGATAAAAATCAAGGTTTATAGTTAGTTTACCTCTCACGTTGAATTAAAACAAGAATGCTTAGGTAATGTAGGGAATACAATAACAGCCCGACCATAGGGCATGCAACTTTTCAAAACTGACCGTTTGAAACTCGCTACGAGTGAGTGAGTGAGTGAGTATGGTTTTACGCCGCTTTTAGCAATATTCCAGCAATATCACGGCGGGGGACACCAGAAATGGGCTTCACACATTGTGCCCATGTCGGGAATCGAACCCGGGTCTTCGGCGTGACGAGCGAACGCTTTAACCACTAGGCTACCCGACCGCCCCGAAACTCGCTTGGAACAAATTGCCTCAGGATTTATTTTACCAGTGCATTTCTACAAGGTCCCCAAAACAACACACTAAAGTCCCATGCACTCATAGTAGGAAATATGTCTAAATTGCATAATCCAATATGGCCACCAATTATCAGTATATCTTCCATATTTCAGATGAGGTTCAATCTAGTGATAAATGAAAACATGTGTTGTATTGCAAAATAGCTATATTATGTTCTAACAAGATATTCACAACAGTAACTCAACATTTTGGCAATTGACAAATCTACAAAAATTCAAGATGGTGGAGGGGCATGTGGACCTGGTGGAGGCTGAGATTTTTTATCGAGACTTGATATGTTTTCAGTTACAGCTACAAAACCAAATATGTTTTTCTCCAAAGATTTGGGCCTGATTTTATATATGAAGAAAAACACCTTGCAACAATATCATTTTTGGGGCAGGCACTTTCTCAATTTTTTCAACAGTCTGAAAACATACATCTTTTTTCACAACTTTTCAAGGGCAATATATTTTTTGGTGATAAAATTCCAGCACATTAAGATTGCATTCAATCCAATAATGTATAATAAAGCATTAAAGCGTCTTTCATTTTTTTCTTCCGTTAGCATGGTTATCGGTGACAATATTGCTGAGCAAAAACATCAACTAACACAAAGACATTAAGGATTCCAAAATGAGAATTTTAACTGACATTCACTGCAGACATGGAACCAAATGTTGGTAAAAGCGATATTAGTACTAAGATGATCGTAAGTCCCACGAATTACCATTGATTTATGACAGTCGTAGCGCTAAGATTGCTGATTGCTAATAAGTCCATGATCTGACAGAAGTATGCATGCATGAAAATATCATTTAAATACTTTATCTAATGCACCCTTCAACATGTTTAAAGCGTAACCCTAATGATAATAATCTAAGCAGATTTACTTATATAACAGCTGCTGACAAAACCTAAATAAACTTGCGTGAGGCAATGTCTTTGCATGAATGACACTTACTGAAACGTGATGTACCCATTCACCCACGGAGGTTCTTGCACGACGAGGACATAGTCATCTTTGACCATCTGACATGTCAGAGTCATAGATACCAGGGCCCTGTTCCACAAAGCGATCGTAGCGCTAAGTCAGTCGTAACTCCCATTCTTTAACACTGACTTACGACAGTTGTTGCACTAAGATCGCTTTGTGGAATGGGTCCCAGGGCCCTGTTCCACAAAGCGATCGTAGCGCTAAGTCAGTCGTAACTCCCATTCTTTAACACTGACATACGACAGTCGTTGCACTAAGATCGCTTTGTGGAATGGGTCCCAGGGCCCTGTTCCACAAAGCGATCGTAGCGCTAAGCTAAGATGATCGTAACTTCCACACTTTTTCATTGGCTAGCGCTAAGATCGCTTTGTGGAACGGGTCCCAGGAGACTATTCCATACTGCAAGCAAAAACCTATATCAATACTTAAGGGTTTGTATACACTAGTGAATAGGCTGCTACGTGGCATAGTAATGTCTGGTTTTGAGATTTAGGCAGCAAATGAAATGAGGTCGTTTACTAGTCATGGACTTCAAATGAGTGAGTGAGTGAGTATGGTTTTACGTTGCTTTTAGCAATGTTCCAGCAACATCACGGCGTTGGACACCAGTAATGGGCTTCACACATTGTACCCATGTCTGGAATCGAAACCGGGTCTTCGGCGTGACGAGCGAACGCTTTAACCACTTGGCTACCCGACCGCCCCGGACTCCATGCATGACCTTTGTGTGAACTCCAACTGCCTTACACTACAGCTAAGTGCAGAGAAGATACCACCTTGCCGTTTGTGCAATGTGAGTCGTGCGATCATTGGTTTTAACTCTAACTGGGCTACCTCTCTTTGTAACCATGACTTTGGTTGATTTATTGGTTAAACATCGACTACCTTGCATAGAGTGTGTGTGTGTGTGTGTGTGTGTGTGCGTGTGTATGTATGTGTGTGCGTGTGTATGTGTGTGTGTATGTCTGTCTGTGTGTGTCTGTCTGTGAGTGTGTGCGTGTGTGTCTGTGTCTGTCTGTGTGTGTGTGTGTGCATCTCCGTGTGTGTGTGTGTTTGTCTGTGTGTGTGTGTGTGTGTGTGTGTGTCTCTGTGTCCGTGTGTGTGCATGTGTGATGTTTAACGCCACATTCAGCAATATTACAGCTATATGACAGCAGTTTCTCGACTCTGAACCAGACAATCCTGTCACTGATATTGTGAGCAATGACACACGCTGTTGGGGTACAAAGAATCCCAATAAACCAAGTCACTGAGCCTGACCCCCTCATCCACGGTTCGACCGGCACAGGTTGCTGGGGACCTATTCTAACCCAGAATTCCTACGGGGGACCTCGTACAGCAGCCACATAAATTTGGTGATGGAGAAAATAGTGTGTACAAACCCAGGAAGTATTGACAATGGCACAGACTTCTTTAACAGAATCAATGAGTTATTCTGATCATAACATGCACACATGATTCAAATCACATATATATAGATATTGACTTGGAGGGAAAGCCCTCTGATATAACATGCCATAAAAAATATCATACATTTCATCTCCCTCTCCTTAATATTCACATCAACAAGCATAAATATACACCATAGCATCGTACAAATACCAAATATTCTAACGAATTCATTTTGTACTTCCCCAGAACAAAATAACACCTGTGAAACAGTCTTGAGCAGTATTTGTTACCGGTATATAAAACTACAATCACTGTACAATAAAATGCTATCTCTGAAAATTTAAACCTCTTATGCAAAACTGACCTGAATAAAATAATAATAAATATGCTTTCAAAGATCTCCGTGTGTGACTTGTCATCCCATGGCGAGATGTTATGATGGGATGGTGGGCGAGGCTTTCCGGCCGTGTGACAGGAGAAACTCCACCCAGTTGCGTATGAAGCCGTGATTGTTGACGTTGTTGACGGCAAACAGACCCATCCGGGTCATCCCCCTGGTGGCGGCCTGGTGAAGCTCCTGCGAGGTCAAGTTCTGACTGATGAGGATGACCTGATGGAACAAGCCCACAGCCATGATGGTCGTGCTCAGGATTGTGTAGCACACGCTCACGAAGCACAGCGCTGTCCTGGGGGCGGAAACATGGAATATAATGAGGTTGTTGTTGTTGTTGTTGTTTGTTGTTTAAAGCCGCACTCAGCAATATTCCAGCCATATGATGGCTGTCTGTAAATAATCGAGTCTGGACCAAACAATCCAGTGATTGATATCATGAGCATCAATCCACACAATTGGGATACAACGACCTGCATCAACCAAGTCAGCAAGTCAGACCACCCAATTCTGTTAGTCGCCTCTTAGGACAAGCTTTGTCATATATTACGACAAGCATGGGTTGCTGAAGTTGGTTGGTTGGTTGTTTTATTGTTTTGCGCCGCACTCAGCAAAATTCCAGCTTTATGACGGCGGTCTGTAAATAATGGAGTCTGGACCAGACAATCCAGTGATTAATATCATGAGCATCAATCCACGCAATTGGGATCGATGACATGCATCAACCAAGTCAGCGAGCGTGACCACCCCATCCCGTTAGTCGCCTCTTATGACAAGCATAGTCGCCTTTTACGGCAAGCATGGGTTGCTGAAGACCTATTCTACCCCGGATCTTCACGGGTCAGGGTTGCTGAAGACCTATTCTACCCCGGAATCTTTACGGGTCACATAGGTGAGGTGGTGAGGTGAAATGGGGTTTAACGTCGCATCCAAGATAATTGCACTCATAAAGCAACATGCATGTATGTGTGTGTGTGTCCGATTTATAGTGCTAGCACACTAAGATACCATGTCGCAGTTTAACATGAATACCTCACTCAGACACAGTATACTGACTCCGAGCTGACAAGTACTTGTTTTAGCTGCTTAATGCTGAGCACCAGGCAGGGTTACAACAAGTACCATCTTTTAACATCTTTTGGTAGGATGCGGCCGTGGATCGAACTCCAGACTTTACGCTCTCCGGGCGGACACTCTACCACTGGACCATGGAGGCGGTCCCATGAAAAATAGGACAAAGTCTTGAGAGTTAGAGACGGCCATTAGTCACTTAGTCAGAGTGACAATCAGAGTGACTAGTCGTTTTCTACCGTAATCTAGATACTTTGCATAAAACACTGGTCTGAAATGAGCTCCGGAGTTGACAATGGTGTCTACCCCTGCCTTGTATAAAAGTTTGTAAGATATGGTGCATATCATCAGTGAGTAACCTAATTCGAGGCCTACTTCAGGCCTTTTCATAGCAATGACCACACTTATGATCTTCAAACAGATTTGTTCGGCCATTCGTAGTTTGTGACACAATAGGATACACAGCGACACAAGCAAAGGGTATTAGGGACCTGTTCTACCCAGAATCCTTACAGGGATACAAGTGATGGGTATCAGGGACCTGTTCTACCAAGAATCCCTACAGGGATACAAACAAAGGGTATTAGGGACCTGTTCTACCTAGAATCCTTACAGGGATACAAGCAAAGGGTATCAGGAACCTGTTCTACCCAGAATCCCTACAGGGATACAAGCAAAGGGTATTAGGGACCTGTTCTACCTAGAATCCCTACAGCGACACAAGCAAAGGGTATCAGGGACCTGTTCTACCTAGAATCATTACAGGGATACAAGCAAAGGGTATCAGGGACCTGTTCTACCCAGAATCCCTACAGGGATACAAACAAAGGGTATCAGGGACCTGTTCAACCCAGAATCCCTACAGGGATACAAGCAAAGGGTATTAGGGACCTGTTCTACCTAGAATCCCTACAGCGACACAAGCAAAGGGTATTAGGGACCTGTTCTACCCAGAATCCTTACAGGGATCCAATCAAAGGGTATTGGGACCTGTTCTACCCAGAATCCCTACAGGGATACAAGCGATGGGTATTAGGGACCTGTTCTACCCAGAATACATACAGGGATACAAGCAAAGGATATTAGGTACCAACTCACTGGAACTCTCCGTAGAGGAACCTGCAGTCACTGGGGAGCAGGAACCAGTCCAGGTACATCTCCGGGGTGCACACTGTTGTCAGGGTCAAGTGGGAACCATAGCAACCACAGAATATGAACAATAACATGGCCGCCAAAAAGGAACGATGGTTGTTGGCCCCAATGCAGTTATCAACCCTGCACAAAGAGAAACAATTTTGTTACTTGAAATCAAAGTTTCTTATCGCAAGTTATTGTATTCTTTTAAAAAATATTTTCTGGCATAGTATTTAAATCAAAGGACGCCTTAAAACTTTGCTGACGATGATGATGATGACGATGATGATGATGATGATGATGACGCTGATGGGGGGCAGGAGAATGTTCTTTTGGGGATCCAACATACCAGACACAGTGGTGATCTCGGACAGAGATGCAGGATTTGCACACAGTGCAGTGGCCCGAGCGTGGAGGTCGACGGGTGCTGCAGTCATTGCACTGCATCTGCAGGTGCCCCTCTGGAACACAATCACATCGCGTTAAGGGTCGCAATACAAACAATACAAGAAATCTAGGTTTGTTTCTTGGTGTACATCACACTCATCAATATTCCAGATACATGACAGTGGCCTGTTAATAATCCAAACCTGGTCCAGTGATCAATATGAGGAACAATCCCAGGGCATCAGGGTACACACAATGACATGCAATTGACCACTTTAATACCATGTCCCTTGTTCAGTTCATGACAACAGAAAAACCAAACATAGAACTACAGTATTAGGTTGAAAAAAATAAAAGAACTGGTTCTCAGGCAAAGACTTTTGAAAATACAGTGCGGGTGGGCGATGGCTTTGTTTTTTTGCTTGTTCAAACTAGTTAACCAAATAAACAGTTGTGTACCATCAACCTGGGACAGGGCCTCCCTACATAAACAAGCATACAAACACCTATTGCCGCCATGACCATTACACAAAAGGTGCAGTAAAGCAGTACGCATGTAAAGGGAAGTAACTGATAGCTATATTGGATAAACAAATTTAAACATGAGGATTGTTTTTCATTTTTTTTTTGAAAATGGAAATAAAAAGGAAACGTGTGGAAGACTTTATGATGATGCGGGCGGTACCTGAGAAGCAAGACTTTTATATTTTTTAGCCTTACCAGTGCTTAAAATACCTGCCTGCCTTACAGTCTTAGACAATCTATTTTGCTGACGGATGGTCAGTTTTGAAAAGTTGGCAGTTGAAGTTAAAGTTAAAGTTACTGTGTTGACAATCCACCAGTAGATTGTTATTTTCTGAGAGTGAGTGAGTGAGTGAGTGAGTTGGGTTTAACGCCACCTTTAACAGTATTCCAGTTTGTCGCGGCGTGTCAGCTTAATGTGGGAGGAAAGCCCGAAGTGATGCAGGTCTCAGTCGTTTAGCACTTCGGTGAAACCCACAAGCACGGGTATGGTGCTGACAAACCTAGAAACATAATCGGGGCGAACCAGGATTCGAACCCACAATCATAGGTTTCTGGCGTGCCCAAGGGACGCAACTCTGCACAGCGAATCGCGGCACCTTAGACAACTGGGCCACCCGTGCCCCCTATTTTCTGAAAACTAACATTACACAATACTATTCTTATGGTTACCCTTTGGTTACTTGTGTTCGTTAGCCCAGAAAATTCTGGACTGGCAACATTTTATCTGGTCATGTTACTTCGCCATGTTGCCAGTACGGTTGTCTGACTGACATTTGGGGGAATTTTCCAGACTGGCATTATACTTGAAATAAGACGTCTTTTTTATTTTTTCATATCAAGACCATGGATCAAGTGAATTTCACCAAGGTTAGAAAGTTAAAAAACACCAGCTATTGGAGCATACTAGGCTTGTAGGCCTTGCACCTATTTTGGGTGACTGTCAACATGATTGCATTTTGAATCTTTTTTTTTCTCACCTTTGATTGGCCGAGAGTCAACCCATGTGACTTGTTGAGCCGAGAGGCCAGTGTCCTCCATTACAGTCGACATCGGATTTGGAATCTCATTGTACATATTTTGTCCGGTACCATTCATTTTTATTCCAACATCCCCATTTTCCCGTCTACCGTCCCCATTGGGGAGATACCTTGTCTTCACCTCCCTCTGTCTCAGGACCTGAATTTTAAGGCGTCCAGGATTGCGTCGGACTTTGCTCAGGTAATAAAACATCAACAAAACCGACGTTGACAGGAGAAGGATCTCCCACAGCAGGATCTCCCGGAACGGAATCACACAGACGATGAAGATGAGGAAACAGAACACAACAGATGTACAACCCCAGAGAAAGAAGAACTGCGTTTGATGATTCCCCGTCCGTTTCCACACCACGTAAAACGTCAGCATAAACATCGGCATGAACATGAGCATTGCGACCGTGGCGACGAAGCTGATTGTCCCGATGAGAAGACACACGGGCACCATGACTATCGGAGTGATGGTGTCCATTCGGATCTTTACTGCACCCTTTCCAGAGCACCATGGAAATCGACAGCGGTCAACGAGTGTTGAGACGATCTGTTGCATTGTGGAGTTGGATACTGGTCGACACGTTATGCATCTGGAACATTTGGATTTATAGAGAGTGGTGTTCAGTCACTGGATTCTGACACAACTAGGGGACACAACTATGCACAAAATTATTGCAGCTTGGATAACAAGGCTGTCCGAGTTTCTGAATGAGGTGAGGTGAGGTGAAATGGGGTTTAATGTCGCGTCCAAGATTATTGCACTTATATAGCACCGTGCATGTACGTGTGTGTGTTTGTGTGGCTGCTTGTACTAGTCCGGACTGATGCCGATTTATAGTGCTAGCTCACTGAGATACCATGCCGCAGTTTAACATGAATACCCCACTCAGACACAGTATACTGATTCCGAGCCGACCAGTCCTTGTTTTAGCCCCTTAATGCCGAGCGCCAGACAGGGTAACAACAAGTACCATCTTTTAACGTCTTTTGGTATGACGCGGCCGGGGATCGAACCCCGGACCTTCCGCTCTCCGGGCGGACGCTCTACCACTAGACCACGGAGGCGGTCGTTTCTGAATGAAGAAAGTGAATTAATTCATCATGTTCATGTTTACAGTAGTCAATGATCATAGCCATATACCAGAGATACCTACAGGATTTGTTTTGTTTGCTTTGTTTGTTTGTTTGTTGTCTGTAAATAATCGAGTCTGGACCAGACAATCCAGGGATTGACATCATGAGCATCGATCCACACAATTGGGATATAATGACATGCATCAACCAAGTCAGTGAGCCTGGCCACCCGATCCCGTTAGTTGCCTCTTACGACAAGCATAGTCACCTTTTACGGCAAGCATGGGATGCTGAAGACCTATTCTACCCCGGATCTTCATGGATTGATACCTACACCTTAAAAAAGGTGACACTTTATCATGTTTACAAAAAAAATAAATATTTAAAGTCCTAATTTTCTTATCATGCTTATAAATGTCCTGTTTTAGCCTGAATCAATAATTTTTTAATTCCAATTTGTGAATTTTCAACAAGGTTTGCTGTAGGCATGATAGATTGGAGACCCACTACCAAATATCATACCTTTTACTCTAACACAATGTGTCTCTCCCTCACCATGTTCACTGATCTTCATGCAGAGAAGTGAGTGAGTTGGACTTAACGCCTCTTTTAACAGTATTCCAGTTATATCATGGCGTGTCAGCTTAATGTGGGAGGAAAGCCCGAAGTGATGCAGGTCTCAGACGTTTACCACTTCGGTGAAACCCACGAGCACGGGTATGGTGCTGACAAACCTAGAAACATAATCACGGCGAACCGGGATTCGAACAAACAATCATAGGTTTCTGGCGTGCCAATGGGACGCAACTATGCACAGCGAATCATGGCGCCTTAAACGACTGGGCCACCTGTGCCCCCTTCATGGAGAGAAGTATTGTATGGGAGTAAAAACTATTCTAAGACCAACTCCAACTCAGATTTACATCTGCACGGGGGAGACAAGCATGGGTTGGAGAAGACCAACATTAACCCTGATCATGTACATCACGAACATATATCAATCTGTATGGAGACTTAACTGTACATATTTTTACACATATAGTTCGGTAATAGGTTACCATGGTTACTGCACCCACCTATCTGCCGCTTCATCCACTGCTTGACAGTCACAGCAGCACGCCAAGATGTGACTCTTCTCACCACCAGCATTCTCATACTCACAGCAACACAAGGCATTGAAGTCAGTGGGCTGAGCTGGAGTCATCTCTCTGATTGTCCATCATTACCTGAAACCTAGCCATATTGTCAGTCATTAGTGTTGATCACATGTATGGAGCTGACAAAGAACTTAACATCACCATGATCACATGTATGGAGCTGACAAAGAACTTAACATCACCATGATCACATGTATGGAGCTGAGGAAGAACTTAACATCACCATGATCACATGTATGGAGCCGAGGAAGAACTTAACATCACCATGATCACATGTATGGAGCCGACGAAGAACTTAACATCACCATGATCACATGTTTGGAGCCGACGAAGAACTTAACACCACCATGATCGCATGTATGGAGCCGACAAAAAACTTAACCATGTTAACATCACCATGATCGCATGTTTGGGGCTGAGGAAGAACTTAACATCACCATGATCACATGTTTGGAGCCGACGAAGAACTTAACACCACCATGATCGCATGTATGGAGCCGACAAAGAACTTAACCATGTTAACATCACCATGATCGCATGTTTTCGGGCTGAGGAAGAACTTAACATCACCATGATCACATGTATGGCGCCGAGGAAGAACTTAACACCACCATGATCGCATGTATGGAGCCGACAAAGAACTTAACATCACCATGATCACATGTATGGAGCCGAGGAAGAACTTAACATCACCATAATCACATGTATGGAGCCGAGGAAGAACTTAACATCACCATGATCACATGTATGGAGCCGAAGAAGAACTTAACATCACCATGATCACATGTATGGAGCCGAGGAAGAACTTAACATCACCATGATCACATGTTTGAAGCCGAGGAAGAACTTAACATCACCATGATCACATGTATGGAGCTGACGATGAGCTTAACATCACCATGATCACATGTATGGAGCCGAGGAAGAACTTAACATCACCATGATCACATGTATGGAGCCGACGCAGAACTTAACATCACCATGATCACATGTATGGCGCCGAGGAAGAACTTAACACCACCATGATCACATGTATGGAGCCGACGAAGAACTTAACATCACCATGATCGCATGTATGGAGCCGACGAAGAACTTAACATCACCATGATCACATGTATGGAGCTGACAAGGAAGTTAACCATGTTAACATCACCATGATCGCATGTATGGAGCCGACGAAGAACTTAACATCACCATGATCGCATGTATGGAGCCGAGGAAGAACTTAACATCACCATGATCGCATGTATGGAGCCGACGAAGAACTTAACATCACCATGATCGCATGTATGGAGCCGAGGAAGAACTTAACATCACCATGATCACATGTATGGAGCCGAGGAAGAACTTAACATCACCATGATCGCATGTATGGAGCTGACAAGGAAGTTAACCATGTTAACATCACCATGATTGCATGTATAGAGCCGACGAAGAACTTAACATCACCATGATCGCATGTATGGAGCTGACAAGGAAGTTAAAAGTGTTAACATCACAATGATCACATGTATGGAGCCAAGGAAGAACTTAACCATGTTAACATCACAATGATCACATGTATGGAGCCAAGGAAGAACTTAACTATGTTAACATCACCATGATCACATGTATGGAGCTGACAAGGAAGTTAAAAGTGTTAACATTACCATGATCACATGTATGGAGCTGATGAAGAACTTAACATCACCATGATCACATGTATGGAGCTGACAAGGAAGTTAAAAGTGTTAACATCACCATGATCACATGTATGGAGCTGATGAAGAACTTAACATCACCATGATCACATGTATGGAGCTGACAAGGAAGTTAAAAGTGTTAACATCACAATGATCACATGTATGGAGCTGATGAAGAACTTAACATCACCATGATCACATGTATGGAGCTGACAAGGAAGTTAAAAGTGTTAACATTACCATGATCACATGTATGGAGCTGACAAGGAAGTTAAAAGTGTTAACATCACCATGATCACATGTATGGAGCCAAGGAAGAACTTAACTATGTTAACATCACAATGATCACATGTATGGAGCTGATGAAGAACTTAACATCACCATGATCACATGTATGGAGCTGACAAGGAAGTTAAAAGTGTTAACATCACCATGATCACATGTATGGAGCTGACAAGGAAGTTAAAAGTGTTAACATCACCATGATCACATGTATGGAGCCAAGGAAGAACTTAACTATGTTAACATCACAATGATCACATGTATGGAGCTGATGAAGAACTTAACATCACCATGATCACATGTATGGAGCTGATGAAGAACTTAACATCACCATGATCACATGTATGGAGCAAAGGAAGAACTTAACCATGTTAACATCACCATGATCACATGTATGGAGCTGACAAGGAAGTTAAAAGTGTTAACATCACCATGATCACATGTATGGAGCCAAGGAAGAACTTAACTATGTTAACATCACTATGATCACATGTATGGAGCTGATGAAGAACTTAACGTCACCATGATCACATGTATGGAGCAAAGGAAGAACTTAACCATGTTAACATCACCATGATGACATGTATGGAGCTGATGAAGAACTTTACGCCACCATGATCACATGTATGGAGCTGACAAGGAAGTTAAAAGTGTTAACATCACCATGATCACATGTATGGAGCCAAGGAAGAGCTTAACTATGTTAACATCACAATGATCACATGTATGGAGCTGATGAAGAACTTAACATCACCATGATCACATGTATGGAGCTGATGAAGAACTTTACGCCACCAGTGATGTTTACAGTATCCCCATCATATCGCGGCGTGTCAGCTTAATGTGGGAAGAAAGCCGAAGTGATGCAGCACTTACACTTTTACCACTTCGGTGAAACCCACGAGCACGGGCATGGAGCCTACAAACATAATCAGGGCGAACCAGGATCTGAACCCATGATCACTGGTTTGTGGGACGCCTAAACATGCTAAAGGATGTAACTGCCTCAGACTGCAAGACTCACCCGCTCAACGTAACTACATGTGGAAAGTAATGTGGTGACATGTGTCTATGACTAAGAGTTAGGTTTGTCATATCATTGGACACTTGTGAACAGAAACTTGAAGATTATTCATGAAGCATTCTTCATATATAAGGATGCACTCAGTGAGACAGGTGGTGTCTGTTTATAAAACCAGAGTTGGGTTAAATAGCAATTAACGTTCATGCCAGATTCTTCCACTTACAATTATTACATAGAGACGTGCATGTGTAACGGCTTCTTAAATATAACTCCAGACTCATCGGCCATTTTTCTTGAGCAAGCTCACTGATATAACAGGAGTTTAACATGGGCACCCTACTCAGACACAGTGTTTTACATGGACACCCCACTCAGACACAATGTTTAACATGGACACCCCACTCAGACAGTGTTTAACATGGACACCCTACTCAGACACAATGTTTAACATGGACACCCCACTCAGATACAATGTTTAACATGGACACCCCACTCAGACACAGTGTTTAACATGGACACCCCACTCAGACACAGTGTTTAACATGGACACCCGACTCAGACACTGTTTTACATGGACACCCCACTCAGATACAGTGTTTAACATGGACACCCTACTCAGACACAGTGTTTAACATGGACACAATGTTTAACATGGACACCCCACTCAGACAGTGTTTAACATGGACACCCCACTCAGACACAGTTTTTTACATGGACACCCCACTCAGACACAATGTTTAACATGGACACCCCACTCAGACAGTGTTTAACATGGACACCCCACTCAGACACAGTGTTTAACATGGACACCCCACTCAGATACAATGTTTAACATGGACACCCTACTCAGACACAGTGTTTTACATGGACACCCCACTCAGACACAATGTTTAACATGGACACCCTACTCAGACACAGTGTTTTACATAGACACCCCACTCAGACACAGTGTTTTAAATGGACACCCCGCTCAGACACAGTGTTTAACATGGACACTCCACTCAGACACAGTGTTTAACATGGACACCCCACTCAGACACAATGTTTAACATGGACACCCCACTCAGACACAATGTTTAACATGGACATCCCACTCATAGTGTTTAACATGGGCACCCCACTCAGACACAGTGTTTAACATGGACACCCCACTCAGACACAATGTTTAACATGGACACCCCACTCAGACACAATGTTTAACATGGACACCCCACTCAGACACAGTGTATAACATGGACACCCCACTCAGACACAGTGTTTAACATGGACACCCCACTCAGATACAATTTTTAACATGGACACCCCACTCAGACTCAGTGTTTAACATGGACACCCCACTCAGACACAGTGTTTAACATGGACACCCCACTCAGACACAGTGTTTAACATGGATACCCCATTCAGACACAATGTTTAACAAGGACACCCTACTCAGACAGTGTTTAACACGGACACTCCACCCAGACACAATGTTTAACAACAACACCCCGCTCAGACAGTGTTCAACATGGACATTCCACTCAGACACAGTGTTTAACATAGATATCCCACTCAGACAGTGTTAAACATAGACACCCCACTCAGTGTTTAACATGGACACCCCACTCAGTGTTTTACATGGATATCCCTCTCAGACACAGTGTTTAACATAGATATCCCTCTCAGACAGTGTTTAACATGGACACCCCACTCAGACACAGTGTTTAACATAGATACCCCACTCAGACAGTGTTTAACATAGATATCCCACTCAGACAGTGTTTAACATGGACACCCCACTCAGACACAGTGTTTAACATGGATATCCCACTCAGACAGTGTTTAACATGGATATCCCACTCAGCATGCTCAGACAGTATACTGACTCCCAGTCAACCTGACCATGTGTTATTCTGAGCAACAGGCAGGGTAACAACAAGTACCATCTTTTACCCCTGTAGGTATGACACGGCCTGTGGACTGAACCACAGAGGATGCTCTTGACTACGGAGGCGGGTCTACATTTGCATGTACTCTTTCTCAAGTAATTAGTCACTTGATTGGAAAAGATATATATATATAATGGCAGACAACTTTACCAGTTATTCT